CATTAACAGTATCTGAAAGAAATGAGAAAAATTGCTATCAAAGCAAAAAAGCAACCTAAATTACTACATAGCCATACAAGAAAAATGTCAGTGAACGACCAAGTGACAAGACTAAGAAAAACAGAAGGGGCATATACAGAAAGTGACAAGGAAATCTGCGAGGCACTGAATGCCAGTTTCCATGGAGTGTTCACAACAGAGCCTGAGCAGCTCCCATTGTTAGAAGAGATTACCCTAGATGAAAGATATAGATCGGAAATAGGCGAGACAGCAGAGGCAGTAATGAAACGGTTGACAACATTGGATGCATCTAAAGCGGTTGGACCAGACAGTATCACCGTGGATACTAAAGAGGCAGCGCAGGGCCTCACATGCCTCTGGCAATGATCTTTAATGAGTCACTTATGTCAGAAGAATTGCCCAGATGCTGGAAGAAGGCAAATGTTGTAAAGATTTAAGAAAGGAGATAGGGAGGAGGCACTTGACTACAGATCCATATCACTGACAAGCATCCCCTGCAAAAATACTTTAAAGAATAATTAGGCTAAGACTTGTTGCACATCTGGAGAGCATTAGGTTAGTAAAACATCAACATGGGTTCTGGAGAGGGAAATCATGCCTAACAACCCTTTTGGAATTCTATGATAAAATAACAAGGATAAGGCAGGACAGAAGGTTGAGTTGACTGCATATTTCTAGACTGCCAAAAAGCCTTTAATACAGTACCACACATGAGACTGATATTCAAACTTGAGAGGCAGTCAGGAGTAAGTGGAAAGGCCCTAGCATGGGTAACGAACTACCTAACAGGAAGGAGCCAGAGTAACGATAAGGGGCGAGAAGTCTGACGAGCGAACAGGAATGAGTGGAGTACCTCAAGGATCAGTGCTGGGGACCATTTCTATTTCTAATATACGTAAATGACATGTTTACAGGAGTAAAATCCTACATGTCTATGTTCACGGATGACAAGATTAATGAGAAGAGTTGTGACAGATGAGGATTGTAGGATCCTCCAAGAGAATTTTAACAGGTTGCAGAGATAGTCAGGGAAATGGCTATTGGAGTTCAACACGAGCAAATGTAAAGTTATTGAAATGCGATCCAGTGATAGGAGACCAAAGGGATAGTACACAAAGGGGAACTGCCTACCTGTAATTCAAGAAAGACCTGGGAGTGGACACAACACCTAATCTAACCCTTAAGGCACATAAATAGGATAACAATAGCAGTGTACTCTACACTGGCAAAAGTTAGATTATCATTCAGACACCCAAGTGAGAAGGCTTTTAGGGCGTGTTACACTGCCTACGTGAGACCAGTCTTAGAGTATGCTGCGGCATCATGGAGTCCCCACCTGAAGAAATGCACAAGGAAACTGGACAAGGTTTAGAAGTTTGCAATGAGGCTTGTCCCAGAGTTACAAGGGATGGGATAAGAGCGCCTGAAGGAACTGAACCGTACAACACTAGAAAAAAGGGACGGGGGGTATGACAGGAACGTATAAAATACTCGGGAAAATTGACAAAGTGGAAATAGATGAAATGTTCACACGTAATATTAACAGAATGAGGGGACATGGGTGGAAGCTGGAAACTCATCCGAGTCACAGAGATGTTAAAAAGTTTTCTTTTAGCGTGAGAGTAGTGGAAAAATGGAATGCACTTAAGCAGCAGGTTGTGGAAACAAACTACAGTTTTCATAATTTTAAAATAGATATGATAGGGAAATGGGACAAGAGTCATTGCCGTAAACAACCGATGGCTAGAAAGGTGGGATCCAAGAGTCAGTGCTCGATCCTGCAGGCACAAATAGGAGTTAAAAAAAAAAGTTTACAATGTTTAACTGTTTACAATGGATAACAATAGAACACAGGGACACCGATGGAATCTTGAGACTCGCATGTCTCAGATGTTAGGAAGTTTTCTTTTAACGCAAGGGTGGCTAGTAAATGGAATGACCTAAATGCGCAGATTGTAGAGGCTAACTCAATTCATAACTTTAAAAGCAGGTATGTTAGAGAAATAGACCAGGAATCATTGCATTAGACAACAGCTAGAAAAGCGGGATCCAAGAGCCGAGTTCGATCCTGCATGCACAAATAGAGTACACATGCGCACGCTTGCTGCCTGTCCAACAAGATATTCCGTAACCAATATGTAGATACTGTATAGCTTTCATGTAGTGTACAGTACAATGCACGAAAGCGCTAGTGTGTGCAGGCAGGCAGCCAAGAAAATTGCAGCATCTAGGACACCTCTTGCCTTCTCAACAGAAGGTGACTGGAAAAACTATTTGAAGCACAAGTTTGCTGCCATTTTTACTGTGCACTGCTGTCCTAGATTTCCTGCCCCCCATTATCCAAATTCTGGTTAAAGTAGAGATCCATGAGGAGACTTATCTTGGCACATTTGGGTTGGACTGGTCAGTACACAAGAACCTTTAACATTGGACAAATTTTGAGACTTGACATTATGCATAGGGCCAATGTTCTTAAGGTTCCCCACCTAGCCGTACTTTGGACAAGATGTTGGCAAGACAATTACGAGGAGAAAGCATTAAGCCAGTTTGACTATTGGCTAGAAACTGGTAACTGTCCCCTCTAGAAGATGTTTATGATGGCAGTTCCAGTCTCTGGAATACTACTAGTGATCATTCCGAGACCAACTCATTTTGAACACAATCATTCAATATTTAGACAAGCATGAAATGAAGGCATTTTATCACATGAAAGCTCTGGCACAACTTGCTAGCTTCATCCTTTAACTACAATGATTTAACTGTATATAACTCTTAAGTTACATTTTCTTTGGTTTTCAGTTTCATCAGCCTACCAGCATTAGAATAAATGCTAAGGTGACTAATGGATGCAAATGAGAGCACAAAGTGAACATTCCCATGCAGTACCTTGCACAATTTCTACCGAAAAATCAAAACCTCTCAGTCCGGCACTCTGAAACCGGACCTGGTATTTGGTCTGGCTCTTAAATCTTCATTCTGTACACACTTTGGAACTGTTCATTTAGCATTTCACACATTTCTTTCATTCTCAGTACAGTAATTCTGTTCCCTATTCAAATTTATCTTTTACATGAAGCTTGCTTTCAATGAATTCATAGAAAAGGTCTGCATCTGTGACATTTGTCCACTATAATTTTCTGCCTCTTCTCACTGCTGAGCAATTGTTTCTTGATTGCTTGTAATGCCGGTACATTTGCCAGTTTGCCCTCTTACGATATTGAACCCATTTTCTCGTCTTCCTCTCTGACCTTCTCAATTTCTGTTGAATCACTCCTGTTTTCTGGTTCTGCATCTCTGTTTTGGTATGAAAGTTTGTGTGCCTTCATCTAATATTTTGCAAAATTTTGTATACATCTCATTTACTTCCTTGCCTAGCAACAAGGCTGTCCAATTAAACTCCTTAAAAAAAAATTGAAGTTCCCCTATAGTGTCCTCTTGAAATTGAGTTCAACTGTTTTAATGTATTCTCTTCTAGATTACATCACAAAGCATTTTTAATGTCCAACAGGACATTATCTCACTCCCAAGGAAGGAAGGTACTGGAAGTCAAATATCAATTCTTTTCTGGTGAATATTAGCTCCAGTACTGACAGGACATCCCCTTCCCTCATTCTTGTGGTCTGCTTGACATGTTGATGCACGAATATCTCCAGAATGATGATTACAAATCTGCCTGTCCAAATGTCCTCCATTCTTGCTTCATAGGCCTCCCAGTCTATGGCTTTAAAAAGTTAACATTTAAAGTTCTCCAGTACCAACAATCGTGATTTACCTATCCGCTTTTACTATAATCTCTTATGAACATTATGAGGCCCTCTTGTTTCTCATCCAGTTCTTCCTTTGAGGAACTAGCTTTCAAGTCCCTAACACTAGAAAAAAAATTAATTTCTGTTCCCATTTGAAGCAAAACTTCTAATGAGGTTCATTTTCAGCTTTTCTCTGTCTTCCTTTGAGAGGTCTTGTCTTACTGACCAGTTTGCCATCCTCATCACACTGCAATTTCCTGGCATTTCTAAGCACTTCCGTCATGTGTTTCACTCCATTAAATGTCACCCTTAAGGAGCGGTTCTTTTCTTTTTCCTATCCTTCTAAAATTAGACATTTTCCTTTTAATTGAGGCCTTCTCCTAAACCTACTATTTTCTTTGACTTTTCTTCTGAACGATGATACAGTTTCCTTTTCTAAACACCTGAAAATTATTATGGACTTGCTTCTATCTACAGTGTTTAGTACTAGTTTACTGTTGGTAACTAGTTTTTCCTAATTGCTTGCCTAAACTACCACTCGTTGGTCATTTCTGGTTCTGACTTCCAAACACTTCCTCGGTCATCTCTTTTACAACTTGCACATACTTTTTAATTTCCTCTTTGTACTTTGAGCGAACGAGCATGTTTGTTTTCTCACTATCAGGTTGTCAGCAATTAGCAGGTGCCCAATCCAGGGTTTATGAGGGGCATGGGAGTCAACCCCCCAACCATTCTATGACAAGTTAAATCACAATGCAAACTTCCATGAGGCTAGCCTCAATTATCTGGTCTCCAACCTTGGACAGGTTTTCATAAAATATTTTCATGTAATTTAAAGCCCAATAGCCAAACCAAGAAATGTATTTATGCACACCTAAAAATTTGCAAGGATTTTTTTGTTTGTAGCCAATACTTTAGAGCAAAGTGGATATTGCATACCACTGACACTATTACACAAACTTATATGCTAGTCCAAAAACCCCAATGAATTTTTAGGGCAACCTAATATTTTGGCGATACATTTCATAAAAAGGAAGGACTGTAACAAGTACATTTTCCCATCATTGATTACCTTAATATTTTTTCCAGGCACTATCATTTCCTGGTGACAAAAAATTGATACCCCCAAATAACACTGCTATTTTGTACAAAAAAACTTTTTACACCAAGAAGCAGGCTGCAATACAAAATTTGTACTTACCATCACCGACATCACCTCTGCTTCATTCTTACCTTATTCATAACCTAAAAAGAAAAAGAAATACTTAAAAGTTTGAAATCACAATTCACATTCTGCACAATGCTACTTTGTACCAGTAAACTGGAGTTATATTGGCCAAGACTAGTGTTGTAAACAAAAACTTACAAATGTTAATAGGCTCAAGTTCTAATGCAAGGGGAGACTTAAGTACTGTACTGGTTTCAATGTTAAAACCGGTTGCCACAACTTAAGGATACTTGACAACCCAATAGTCAGAAGACCCAGGATGCATATGTATAGACAACTGGTTTGCACGCAGAATACAGACAATTGAAAGTAGCTTTTAGTTTATGCTTAATCAAGCTGCCTGGTTTCTGCAGGTTGATTATACTGTGTATATAAATCTGAATACAGTAATGTTCTATATAAACAAGGATAGATCCAATAGAAACCAATGGGGCATATAAAGCCCAGCTATCTATGCCCAAGTGTAATAGGTTGGAGGCCAGATGCTTGGAGCTAGCTTCACTCAATGTGGCAGGGTGAATGGTCTAGAGTATGGGACTGACATAAGACTGGTTGGGGGGTCAGTTTTATTGGTCCCATTGAGGGGAGGGGCAGATGGAGGATGGGGGGGAAGTAATCTGTGAATGGTGGCTGGCAGAGTCTCGAGTTCATAGTGATCAACATTATTTTATAGTATTTGAGAGCGAGAGGAGAAGTGTTTGAAGAGTGCAAGGGGGATCTTCAGGAAGAAAATTGGAAGATGGGAAGAGGAAAGGGTTGGGAGGGAGACTGAGAAAACTGGTAACCCCCCCTCCATCTCCTATAGTTACCTGTACCACAAGTTAAGGTCTTTTGTACAGTATTTAAAAACCAATTAAAATAGTCTGGAAAATATGTATAATACAGATGTACAGGTATCAATATAAAATACCATATTGGTATAGTAGTACCGAATATAGAACCGGGTAGCAAGTTTTATAAAGGAGTAATAAAGCACTCATTTTTAAACAAAATAGCATTCAAGCAAATACAGTAGCAATGGCAGTGGAAGTCTTATCTGTATAAAGTAATACAAGGTTGTAGCCAACAAACACCGATTGAAAAGTGCTTAATGTGGTGAAATGCCTAACTGTATGCTGTACAATACTGTACTGTACTTTTTATAGCACAGTTTGTTAAAAAAAAAAAAAATTAAATTTACTCTTAAATTCAAAATCTTTTAAGCCATTAGATAGTTGAAAAGTCTCACGTTACAAAGCCAATTACATTCTGGGTACTGTATTCCCCATCCAGTTACTGGCCAAACAGTATAAGCAGGCAACATTTAGCTTAACCTCCAACTTTAGATACAGGTGAACTACTGTACAGTATTTAATAATTAACCGTTTAAAGTGAAGTACTGTATCCATTTGCTTTACAGATCACTTCCAAGACAATGACCCTTTATACTTTTTTTTTCAACACAAACACATTGCAGACAAATGTAAAAATTTATTCTATAAATATCTTATAATTTATCTTATATCTATCTTATAAAATAATTTAGTAAATATCTATAAATAATTTATTCTATAAATTCATAAACAAATTGCAGGTAAAGGATAATATTCAGAGGTTGAAAATGGAACAGATTCACGGAAAATGAAAAGGAAATGTGTGAAACGTTAACAAAAAGTTCTAAAGTGCGTTTGTACAAAATGAAATGTTCAGGGAACTAAACAATAAGAATTCCAGAGAGCAGAGCACAGAGGTGTCTAGAGATGAAGTGGAAAAAATGTTTAAGGAACTAAGTAACAAAGCAATTGGTCCAGATGGAGTTTCACCATGGATTCTGAGGGAATGTGCACCCGAGCTCAGCATTCCACTTCAATTGATTTTTCAGGCATCCTTATGTACAGGAGTTGTAGCTGATGTGTGGAAAAAGGCTAACAGTTCCAATCTACAAGTCACAGCAGGGAAGACCCCCCTCAATTATAGACCTGTATCACTGACATGTAATAATCAAAATATTAGAAAAAATTAAAACTACAGTAAATGGGTAGAACACCTGGAGACAAAGAAATCAGTCAAACAGTATGGTTTTCGATCTGGAAGATCCTGTGCAACGAATTTACTCAGTTTCTACAATCGAGCCACAGAGATTTTACAGGAAAGAGATGGTTGGGTTGACTGCATCTATCTGAATCTAAAAAAAGGCTTTTGACAGTTCCACACAAGAGGTTGTTCTGAAAACTAACATTAGAGGGGGTGACAGGAAAGCTACTAACATGGATGAAAAAATTTCGTAATTGATAGAAAAATGTGGGTCGTAATCAGAGGCAATGTATCAGATTGGAGGAATGTCAAGTGGAGTACCACAGGGTTCAGTTCTTGTACTGGTAATGTTCGATGTCTACATAAACGATCTACCAGATAGAATACAGAATTATATGAACATGTTTGCTGATGATGCTGAGATAATAGGGAAGATAAGAAACCTAGATGTTTGTCTTCAAGAATACCTGGACAAAAGTATATGGAGCACCACTTGCTAAATGGAATTTAATGTGAATAAATGCCATGTTATAGAATGTGGAATTGGAGAACATAGACCCCACACAACCTATAAATTATGTGAGAAATCTTTAAAGAATTCTGAGAGAGAAAGATCTAGGGGCGGTTCTAGTTAGAAAACTCACCCGAGGACCACATTAAGAACATTGTGCGAGGAGCCTATGTTACACTTTCTAACTTCAGAATTGCTTTTAAATACATGGAGAAATGGATGGAGAAATAAAAAAATCTACTTTTGTTAGACCAAAGCTGGAATATGCAGCGGTTGTATGGTGCCCATATCTTAAGCAGCACATCAAACTGGAAAAGGTGCAAAGACATGCTACTAAGTGGCTCCCAGAACTGAAGGACAAGAGATACAAGGAGAGGTTAGAGGCATTAAATATGCCAAAACTAGAAGATAGAAGAAAGAGGCAATATGATCACTACATACAAAATAGTAACAGGAATCTATAAAATTGATAGGGAAGAATTCCCGAGGACCCAGAACTTCAAGAACAAGAGGTCATAGATTTAAACTAACGAAACAAAGCTGCCAGAGAAATAAGAAAATTCCCCTTTGTAAACAGAGTGGTAGACAGTTGGGACAAGTTAGGCGAGGTGGTGGTGGAGGCCAAAATCGTCTAATTTCAAAGCATTATATGACAGTGCTGGGAAGACGGGACACCACGAGCGTAGCTCTCATCCTGTAACTACACTTGGGTAATTACACACAAGTTCTTAGTCTTGTACAGCCACTAGCACACACAGCATTTCAGGCAAGTCCTTAATCCTATGTTCCTCAGAATACAATCTGCCAAATCATTTAACCAGGTACCCATTTTACTGTTTGGTAAACTGCTACAGTTAAGGATTTGAGCCCAGTAAATCCCCCCCGGCCAGGATATGAACCCAGGACAACGATCTTGCGAAACACCAGGCAAGTGTCTGGCCACTATACCACAGGGACTACTATTCTTATATTAATTATAATTATATAGAAGTTATTCTTAATGCCACTAGCATGCATAGCATTTCGGGCAGATCCTTAATCCCAATTTTCCCCGGAATACGACCCACCAAATCATTTAACTAGGTACCCAGTCACTGCTGGGTGAACAGAGGATACAGTTAGGATTGGGGCCCAGTCCGATCCTCTCCGGCCAGGATTTGACCCCAGGCCAAAGTCTACGCGAAGCACCGGGCGAGTGTTATACCACTGCACCGCTGGACTGCACTTATTATAATTCCGAGCTAGGGGACAGGCAGTCAGAGTACATATACATGTTAGGATTATATCGTGGTCTTCCCAAATATCAAATTACAGACACCCCTGGGTATCTATTTAGTACTAGGTGAAAAGGGGTATTACTTCAAGGCATGTGGTGGGACCTCTGATAAGCCGCTGGCTTCCTGTCCTGTTTCAGGCCACTAGTACTCGCCTATTTGTGCTTGCGGGGGTTGAGCTTTGCCTCTTTGGTCCCACCTCTCAACTGTCAATCAACTGGAGTACAGATTCCTGAGCCTAATGGGCTCTATCGTATCTACATTTGAAACTGTGTAGTCTCAGCCTCCACCACATCAATTCCTAGTGTATTCCATTTACTAACTACTCTGACAATGAAAAAATTCTTTCTAATGTCTCTTGTGGCTCATTTGGGTACTAAGTTTCCACCTGTGTCCCCTTGTTCGTGTTCCACCCGTGCTGAAGTTTGTCTTTATACACCCTGAGAATTTTGTACATGATTATTATGTCTCCCTTTACACTTCTGTTTTCTAGGGAGGTGAGGTTCAGCTCCATCAGCCTTTCCTTGTAGCTCATACCTCAGTTCCGGGACAAGTTTGGTGGCATACCGCTGAATGTTAGTGACTGGTAACTTCAGGCAATAAAAAAAAAAAAAAAAATTTTGCCCCGAGGGGCGAGTTTATTGGGCAGTTCCACTCATCTTTTGAGTGGACATACCGCCATAGCAGTATGTACAACACTCCCCAATAGGAAGAAAACCCACTGGGTTGTTCATCCTGTCACTTGTACCCAGCTCAAGCGAACAGCTCCTCAAACAAGAAAATTAACATCTATCAACCCTTAAAAGTTTACGTTATCTTGCGGGTGCAAAATGGGGGAATCTTTTAAGAAGAGTATCAATGTTTGACAAATAGTGTTTTCCTAACTCAATGTAGGGTTTATTATTCTACACAATTCTGATTTCTCTCAGGTGTTCACATTCACGTAGATTCACGTGTTCAAGGCGGTGTCCATCACTCTCACCACAGTTTGAAGTGTGTTTATAAGTAAAATTAGTTTGGATAACCTCCCTAACCATGACTGTGAACTGGTACGGGCCAGCCAGCAAGATCAATGTTAAGCCAGAAATACAGGGATGACCATAGTCTGTGGCAGAGGTGCTAACACATTTTAAAGTTGACAGATATACGTTCGTTAACCAAATACTACTGAAATAAAGGGTTATACTAGAGGATACTGGTAACAAAATAGTGCCGCAATACTTCATTCACACCAAACAAGAGTCAGTCTCAAGTGACAACACAAGACTAAACTATACCTAGATGATTAAGTGAGGACAGTGAAGGTAAGCGTCCGCCTGAGACCCCTCCACACCCGCCCCCAAGAACAAACCACATGAACAACGAGGCTATAATGAACACCACACCGCCCAACACAACACCAAGAGCAACATACCGCAGGGTTGGACTCGAGGGGCAGCCAGCGCACCATGGTGACCGAGAATTCACTTGATGAGGGTGGAGAGTAAGAGTGACGACCGCTCGGCGTGGCAGCTGGCAGGGTTCTAGCGGGTTCCGGTCCGCGCCGCCGCCTCTCCTCCCCCCTCCACCCCGCCCCCCACACTTCCGCCCTCACAAATCCTATTCCCTTCTCAAAAACCTCCAACTAACCATCTTCCCTCAGCTCTATTCCATCTCCAAACCACATCAGTTTCCCCCCTTCTACAACCCGAGCCCACCCCTTGCCTCTCCTCATCCAACAACCCCCTAAAGCCCCACTATCCCTTCTCATCATCCCCCCCCCCTCAAGTCCAATAATATGAACCAACGCCCACCACAATTGTTATTCTCATGGTAAGCAATTGTCAGTGCCAAAGGGGGATAGAAATAGCCTTAAGCTACTCTATCCCTTTGAGATTTTGATCTGTAATTTTTTCTTGTCTCAATAAACATACTTGAACTTGAACTTGTCAATGCCAGGAAGCCTGGCACTGACTTCCTGGCACTTCCTATATATATATATATATATATATATATATATATATATATATATATATATATATATATATATATATATATATATATATATATATATATATATATATATATATATATATATATATATATATATATATATATATATATATATATATATATATATATATATATATATATATATATAAAGAGCAAATGGCGAGGCTATCCACAGGGTCACCTACTCACTTATTGGCCAGATCCAGCTGAGCTTAACCTGGCTGACCTAGTATACAGTACCTATAGCGAACACATATATAATCATTTGTGCCACATCTGTCATTTATTTTTATTTTTATTGGTTTAGAAATGTGTGTTTCTGACATTTCAAAACTGCAGTTTAATTGGCAATACCCTGGAAACACAAACCGTAACTGTCTCTATTTTCCGCTTATTACAACTTGTAATATAGTTGTCACATTTTGGCTTAACGTGTTTATGACGTATTAGAACGTTGTTACAACTTGCTATATTGGTTGTTATAACTGGTTAGGTGGTGTTAAAACTTGCTCGAACGTTGTACCAACGTCGTAGTTTCAGTGTGTGTTTGGCGGGTATAACATAAATAAAGGATATATATATATTGGCTATAACCGATCCATTTATCAACTCTGCTCCTTAATTCCTTAATAATTGCTTTAATTTACGATTTTACATATTTACTTATGTATCTGTTAAATTAATCAAATGCAGTTTAATTACTTATCAATTATACAATATGCGCATCACTCGGTCAGGTTAAGCAACATTGGGTCTGGGCAGCAATAGAATGCAAGCATGACTGCGCAGTTAAATAGCCTAGTCCATGACCAGGTTCTGAGGAGGAATCTTGTAGAAACTGGTAAGAATAATTGTAATATAATGTTCCAATGATTCAGTACTTGGCTCTTGTGAAAATCGCAAAGTTGTTGTTTGGTCAAAATTGATTTGTTTTTGTATTGAGGTAATTATTTTCTTTCCTGATCCCATGTATGACTAACCATCATGTGAGATGGGAATATTAAATGAACTTATAACTATTTTTTTTTATCTACTCTGTGTAATCTTTCATATGGAATAGGGTAGCAACACATTGTTGTGTAGCTTTCTGCTGAAGCTTACTGCTAAGCTTGTTAATACAACAAGAAAAAACATCATAAGCTTGTTGATAATAATAATAACAATAATAATGCAATTATTTATATAAAATGTACACAGAAACATGTTACAGCAGTTAATTAGTGTTAAACATTACATCGGGTAAATAATAGTTTTTCTTCGTAATATACATTTACTGAATTTGCTTAATTTCAACCAAAACTGAGACTTCTGACTCAACCTAAATATGCCGAGTATTTCTCAGTATTGTCTACCATAGATAAAGCTAGACCTAACTGTTAGACATTGTCGTTGTCATAATAATTGTAAAATAAATATTTGAAAATATTAAAATCGCTCGTAGGCAAAAATCGATATTGAATACTAGGCTTAGGAGTAGACTGGCTATTATAAGCACGGGCATAAATATATCAAATAATATAACCCACTTATAAACAAAACATTATTTATTAGGACCACACCTTTTAATGTAGCTGTGATGGCTCAGAGCAGAAAATAGGTAGGGAGCTGCACCTCTCTCATAGAGAAATAAACCGACATGGAATACTTTTCTGTTTAACCACTCGAAGCATGGACGGGGGGGGACTCAATTATATACTACAACGCGATTAAATTTATCTGGTGAGCCTTAAGAACGTTACGTATTATTCTACATGCAGTCATGAGTAGCATCAGATAAGGTGGGCGCCATGAGGCACTAAGGTCACTGACTGCGCAGTTACCGATCAATGCCAGGCAGGTGACGACTAACATCAACACCACATTCCTTAACAAATTCCTTGCAGTTGTTTTTAAGCAAAATGATATTACCGAATGCGTGTGATAGTGGCTTTAAGTAAAACAAATTAATGAATACATTTCCGCTAATGAATACAAATGTATTCAAATTAATGTATTCAATTAATGTATTCAATTAATGTAATCAAATTAATGAATACACACACATATATATATATATATATATATATATATATATATATATATATATATATATATATATATATATATATATATATATATATATATATGAAGTGAGGTGAACGTTTCGGCTTGTTATATATATATATATTCATATATATATATATATGTCGTACCTAGTAGCTAGAATGCACTTCTAGGCCTACTATGCAATGCCCTATTTGCCTACTTGTTTCAAATATTATTAATATATAATGGTAAGAACATAAATTATTGACTTAGTTATGTTAGTTTAGGTTAGGTTAAGATAGGTTAGGTTAGATTAGGTAGGGTAGGTTTGGTCATATATCTATGTTAGTTTTAACTAAAATTAAAAAAAATCATACATAATGAAATTGATAGCTTTATCATTTCATAAGAAAATAAAATTGAAAAATATATAAATTCAAGAAAACTTAGCTTATTAGGCATTTCAGGCCTTGCATAGTAGGCCGAGTACAGCATTCTGGCTACTAAGTACAATATATATATATATATATATATATATATATATATATATATATATATATATATATATATATATATATATATATATATATGTCGTACCTAATAGCCAGAACGCACTTCTCAGCCTACTATTCAAGGCCCGATTTGCCTAATAAGCCAAGTTTTCATGAATTAATGTTTTTTCGTCTACCTAACCTACCTAACCTAACCTAACCTAGCTTTTTTTGGCTACCTAACCTAACCTTACCTATAAATATAGGTTAGGTTAGGTTAGGTAGGGTTGGTTAGGTTCGGTCATATATCTACGTTAATTTTAACTCCAATAAAAAAAAATTGACCTCATACATAGAGAAAAGGGTTGCTTTATTATTTCATAAGAAAAAAATTATAGTAAATATATTAATTCAGGAAAACTTGGCTTATTAGGCAAATCGGGCCATGAATAATAGGCTGAGAAGTGAGTTCTGGCTACTAGGTACGACATATATATATATATATATATATATATATATATATATATATATATATATATATATATGTCGTACCTAGTAGCCAGAACGCACTTCTCAGCCTACTATGCAAGGCCGGATTTGCCTAATAAGCCAAGTTTTCATGAATTAATTGTTTTTCGACTACCTAACCTACCTAACCTAGCCTAACCTAACTTTTTCGGCTACCCAACCTAACCTAACCTATAAAGATAGGTTAGGTTAGGTTAGGTAGGGTTGGTTAGGTTCGGTCATATATCTACGTTAATTTTAACTCCAATAACAAAAATTGACCTCATACAAATTAAAATGGGTAGCTTTATCTTTTCATAAGAAAAAAATTAGAGAAAATATATTAATTCATGAAAACTTGGCTTATTAGGCAAATCAGGCCTTACTTAGTAGGCTGAGAAGTGCGTTCTGGCTACTAGGTACGACATATATATATATATATATATATATATATATATATATGTCGTACCTAGTAGCCAGAACGCACTTCTCAGCCTACTATGCAAGGCCCGATTTGCCTAATAAGCCAAGTTTTCATGAATTAATTGTTTTTCGACTACCTAACCTACCTAACCTAACCTAACCTAACTTTTTCGGCTACCTAACCAAACCTAGCCTATAAAGATAGGTTAGGTTAGGTTAGGTAGGGTTGGTTAGGTTCGGTCATATATCTACGTTAATTTTAACTCCAATAAAAAAAATTGACCTCATACAAAATGAAATGGGTAGCTTTATCATTTCATAAGAAAAAAATTAGAAAAAATATATTAATTCAGGAAAACTTGGCTTATTAGGCAAATCGGGCCTTGAATAGTAGGCCAAAAAGTGAGTTCTGGCTACTAGGTACGACATATATATATATATATATATATATATATATATATATATATATGTCGTACCTAGTAGCCAGAACGCACTTCTCAGCCTACTATACAAGGCCCGATTTGCCTAATAAGCCAAGTTTTCATGAAATAATGTTTTTTCGACTACCTAACCTACCTAACCCAACCTAACCTAACTTTTTCGGCTACCAAACCAAACCTAACCTATAAAGATAGGTTAGGTTAGGTTAGGTAGGGTTGGTTAGGTTCGGTCATATATCTACATTAATTTTACCTGCAATAAAAAAAAATTGACCTTATACATAATGAAATGAGTAGCTTTATCATTTCATAAGAAAAAAATTAGAGAAAATATATTAATTCAGGAAAACTTGGCTTATTAGGCAAATCGGGCCTTGCATAGTAGGCTGAGAAGTGAGTTCTGGCTACTAGGTACGACATATATATATATATATATATATATATATATATATATATATATATATATATATATATATATATATATATATATATATATATATATATATATATATATATGTCGTACCTAGTAGCCAGAACTCACTTCTCAGCCTACTATGCAAGGCCCGATTTGCCTAATAAGCCAAGTTTTCATGAATTAATATATTTTCTCTATTTTTTTTCTTATGAAATGATAAAGCTACCCATTTCATTATGTATGAGGTCAATTTTTTTTTA